ACCGTGACAGATATAATCAGAGCAAAAACTATACTTTACGATACAGCGCAAAATATGTACAAAACCTAGAAAAAAAGATGGTCAGCTGCAACCCTAGTCACTTTTTCATGCACATGTCGTTGTGATTGTAGTGAGACGTCCCATCATTTGGTTGGATACCTCAGACTTAGTCGACATGCCTGCAGATGAGTGAAGTTAATTCATGAACCAGGGATGAGTCGATGGCTTACTTGCACAATCCATCAGTTTTCATTCCGTGGCAACCTTACTTCGGCTTCTGGTGGAACCATCGTACGAATTTCTTCCAACTAACTTTTCCTCATAAATGAGAAGTAATATCACACTGAATCATTAAAGTATTCTTCTAAAATCAATTTTTTTCTTCAAACAAAGCCTTTGCCAACTTGCCTCATTCAGTGGGAAATTTTCTTCCGATCTCAACTAGGTTGGACAATTATTCTTTTTAGAAAGTAAAGTCAGGTGAAATTAAATTGACATGTGAAGTCTTCTCATATGGTTACGGGAAAATTCAACTATCAGCCCATCAACATCGCATGCGACCTAAGGTGGCTGGAATTCTTTTTCAAGAGTTACTGGTAGTTTGGAAACCTACCTTATATGGAATGTGTATTTCAGCCAGTAGAGTCATTACTCTACTGAGCAGGAAGGTGCTAAGAGCTCCGTTTAGGGAATAGGAGGAGATTGATTGTCGTAGAAGTTTATCTCTTCTTAATGCTTCTCTCCATTGAACGGATGGTGACATTTTGCATGATGAATTTGATAAAACTGGTCACAAAACGATGCGAAAAGTGAGAGCCTTGCTTTGCTTTCATGGTCGTACATTTTCTGCCACACATTGTGGTCTGGTTTAGAGTAAAAACGAAATTTAGTGAAAAACTTGATTTTCCCCCAATTAAATTAGTTGAAAGCCTCACGATGCCTTCACAAATCACTAAGCCCAATTTCACTAAATGATTCCTCACACAAGTTCGTCCTTTCTTTTTGCATCCCTTGGTAGCATTAAGCACTCTAGTTAGCATTGGATGGAAACCCAACAAGTCGACCTTCGACTATCCAAGTGGCCCAGGATCAGCTTGGTTAATAATCGAGATATATTTATGATTGGGAAGCTAAGTGACCATGCCCAAAAGCCAATTCATATGACCTGTTTATCGGCACATTGTTATTATTTTCTACTTCTTCTTCATCTTCAACTTCCCCGTCTTTTGCATCTCCTCTTTCTTTTTCTTATCCTTGTTCTCCTCTTTCGCGCTCTTATTATTTATCTTCTCCTCCTACTCTTCTTCCTATTTTTATTCATACTCTTAGCTTTCCCATTCTCTACTTCTTATTCATATTCTTCCCATGCTTCTCTTCTCTCCCTTACTCGAAGCAAAAGCCATTCAGCATTTTGTACCAGGCTTTACCAAACAATATTTTCAATAATCGAAGGTATGAAGGCCAAGATGGTGTGACCTTTAGTATCGTCACGCTCTCCTTTCGTTGTGTTGAGGCTGGTTGACCTTGTCTTCGTAACTTGGTCATATTGTTAAGGAGACCTATGGGAACACACCTTGTCCGAAATCCATGGTATGCATGATCATTTCTAAGGTCGGACTGTGAAATTTACTCATCCCCAGACGTTTCGCCGGCATCGTCAGTGAGCCTTGCCATTCTTAGCACCACACTACAACTCGTCTAAGGGACAAGTGAAGTCAATCCTTTTGACTAATTGTCTTCGAAACCGTTGTGGTATTTCTTCTTCTGTCTTGGTTCATTCAACTATCCTATCTCCTCGTAACACCTCTTCACTATCACTATTTCTTACTTGCTTATCTAAGCCTAGTTAGAATGTGCCCTTTTGAACGGATATAGTGGGACCTATTCACACTTCCCTCCGGTACCTAACTCCTTCCACTGTACTGGGAGTGTTGAGTGAACCGAGTAGAGCTCATGGTCTAGACTGTTTTTTTATTGACCACATGTGTGATGAAACTTATCTACAAATGTACATACGAAATGTATTTTCCCTATTTCGCTTAAGATGATAAGGAAACGACTGGTAGTTGAATTTTTCCCACATTGATATGAGTAAACCTTACATTTCCATGAAGTTATGGGGACCAAGATGTTGTGGACTCTGGTATGGGTTGATCTCGTTGTCGCAACTTGGTCTTGTTGTCAAGGCGACTTAGTAGAACGTACCTTGTCCCAAGTCCTCTGTCATAATAGTTATCATTATTCCCAGCATCAGACTGTGGACTTGGTACATCACGGGTTCGACTTCACTTTGATAAGTTTGTAGCTTGGTACGGAGAATGGAAAAACTCACTGATGATGCCGACTATGATGCCGGCGAAGCGTTTGAGAATGCACCACGTCCACTGTCTGATGCTGGGAATAATGACAACTACTATGGCAGACGACTTCGGACTAGGTGAGTTCTACTAAGTCGCCTTGACAACAAGACCAGGTTGCGACAACTAGGTCAACCCACTTACATTTCCAATTAATTTCACA